AACAAATAAATTACTTAACATTACATCTCAAAGCCCTAGAAAAGAATAACAAATCAACACCCAAAGCAGCAGAATACAGGAAATAATTAAAATCAGAGACGAAATTGAGACAAAAGAAACAATTGAAAAAATTGACAGAGGGCTCGGGATGTGGCTCAAATGATAGCGCGCTAGCCTAGCACGTGCGAGGCACTGGGTTCAATGCTCAGCACCACATAAAAATAAATAAGTGAAATAAAGGTATTGTGTCCAACTACATCTAAAAAATAAATATTTTTAAAAATTGACAGAACAAAAATTTGGTTCTTTGAAAAAAATAAATAAAATTGACAGGCCCTTAGCCATGCTAACAAAGAGGAGAGAGAAAACTCACTAACAGACATGATGAAAAAGGAAATATCACAACAGACACTACAGAAATACAAAAGAAAATTAGAAATTATTTTGAAAACTTATACTCCAATGAAACAGAAAATATCAAAGGTATTGACAAATTTCTAGAGTCATATAATTTGCCCAAAATGAATCAGGATGATAAACACAATTTAAACAGATCAATTTCAAGTGATGAATAGAAGATGCCATCAAAAGTCTACCAGCCAAGAAAAGCCCAGAACTGGATGGATACACAGCCAAGTTCTACAAGACCTTTAAAGAAGAATTAATAACAATACTCTTCAATTTATTTCAAGAAATAGAGAGGGAGCACTTCCAAACTCATTTCTATAAGGCCAATATCACCCTGATTCCAAAACCAGGCAAAGAAACATCAAAAAAAAAAAAACACACTTCAGATCAATATCTCTAATGAACATGGATGTAAAAATTCTCAATAAAATTCTGGCAAATCACATACAAAAACATATCAAAAGGGCTTGGGATGTGGCTCAAGCAGTAGCGTGCTCACCTGGCCTGCGTGTGGCCTGGGTTCAATCCTCAGCACCACATACAAATAAAGATGTTGGGTCCACCGAAAACTAAAAAATAAATATTTTTTAAAAATTCTCTCCCTCCCTCTCTCTCTCTCTCTCTCTCTCTCTCTCTCTCTCTCTCTCTCAAAAAAAAAAATATATCAAAAAGATTGTGCACCACGATCAAGTGGGGTTCATCCCAGGGATTCAAGGTTGGTTTAACTTCCAGAAATCAATAAATGTAATTCATCACATCAATAGACTTAAAGATAAGAATAATATGATCATCTCATTAGACGCAGAAAAAGCATTTGACAAAATACAGCACCCCTTTATGGTCCAAACACTAGAAAAACTAGGGATAACAGGAACATATCTCAACATCATAAAAGCTATCTATGCTAAGCCCCAGGCCAACATCATTCTAAATGGAGAAAAATTGAAAGCATTCCCTGTAAAAACTGGAACAAGACAGGGATGCTCTCTTTCGCCACTTCTATTTAACATAGTTCTTGAAACACTGGCCAGAGCAACTAGACAGATGAAAGAAATTAAAGGGATACACATAGGAAAAGAAGAACTCAAATTGGCACTATTTGCTGATGTATGATTCTATCCCTAGAAGACCCTAAAAGTTCCACAAGAAAACTTCTATAACTAGTAAATTAATTCAGCAAAGTAGCATGATTTAAAATCAATACCCATATATCAAAGGCATTTCTGTATATCAGTGACAAATCATCAGAAAGGGAAATGAGAAAAACTACCCCATTTACAATAGCCTCAAAAGACACACACACAAAAAAAAAACTTGGGAATCAACTTAACTAAACAATTTAAAAAATCTATATAATGAAAATTACAGAACCCTAAAGAAAGAAGTCAAAGAAGACCTTAGAAGATGAAAAGATCTACCTTGCTCTTGGATAGGCAGAATTAATATTATCAAAATGGCCATACTTCTAAAAGCACTATACAGATTTAATGCAATTCCAATCAAAATCCCAAAGAAATTCCTCATAGAAACAGAAAAAGCAATCATGAAATTCATCTGGCAAAATAAGAGACCCAGAATAGCTAAAGCAATCCTTAGCAGGAAGAGTTAAGCAGGTGGCATCACTATACCAGATCTTACACTGCCCTTCAGAGCGATAGTAACAAAAACAGCATGGTATTGGCACCAAAACAGACTACAATGGTACAGAATAGAGGACACAGAGACTAACCCACAAAATTACAATTATCTTATATTAGACAAAGGTGCCAAAAACACGCACTGGGGAAAAGATAGCCTCTTCAACAACTGGTGCTGGGAAAACTGGAAATCCATATGCAACAAAATAAAATTAAACCCCTAAACTCTCACCATGCACAAAACCCAACTCAAAATGGATCAAGGGCTTAGGAATACAACCAGAGACCCTGCATCTAATAGAAGAAAAAGTAGGCCTTAATCTCCATAATGTTGGATTAGGCCCCAACTTCCTTAAATAAGACTCCTGTGGCACAAGAATTAAAATCAAGAATCAGTAAATGGGATGGACTCAGACTAAAAAGTTTCTTCTCAGCAAAAGAAACAATCAATGAGGTGAATAGAGAGCCTACATCTTGGGAGAAAATCTTTACATGTCACATATCAGATAAAGCACTAATCTCTAGGGTATATAAAGAATTAAAAAAGCTAAGCACCAAAAAAATAAATAAATAAATAACCCAATCAATAAATGGGCCAAGGACCTGAGCAGACACTTCTCAGAAGATGATATACAATCAATCAACAAATATATGAAAAAATGTTCATCATCACTAGCAATTAGAGAAATGCAAATCAAAAACACTCTATATTTCATAATCTCACTCCATTCAGAATGGCAGCTATTATGAAGACAAACAACAATAAGTGTTGGTGAGGATGTGGGGAAAAGGTACACTCATACACTGCTGGTAGGACTGCAAATTGGTGCAGCCAATATGGAAAGTAGTATGGAGATTTCTTGGAAAAATAGGAATAGAACCACCATTTGACCCAGCTATCCCTCTCCTCGGTCTATCCCCAAAGGACTTAAAAACAGCATACTACAGGGACACAGACACATCAATGTTTATAGCAGCACAATTCACAAAAGCTAAACTGTGGAACCAATCTAGATGCCCTTCAGTAGATGGATTTAAAAAATGTGGCATATATACACAATGGAATATTACTCAGCAATAAAAGAATAAAATCATGGCATTTGCAGGTAAATGGATGGAGCTAGAGAAGATAATGCTAAGTGAAGTTAGCCAATCCCCAAAAAATAAATGCCTAATGTTTTCTTTGATATAGAGAGGCTGATTCATAGTGGAATAGGGAGAAAGAGCATAGGAGGAATACACTCTAGATAGGGCAGAGGGGTTGGAAGGGAAGGGAGGGGGCATGGGGTTATAAACGATGGTGGAATGTACAGATCATTATTATCCAAAGTACATGTATGAAGACACGAATTGGTGTGAATATTTTATATACAACCAGAGATATGAAAAATTGTGCTCTATATGTGTAATAAGAATTGTAATGCATTCTGCTATCATACATAAATTTTTAAAAATTATGTAAGAAGCTATGTGTAAGTATATGCAAATACTATACTTTATTTAAGGGACTTGAGCACCTCATGACTTGATATGGTATTTTGATATCCATGAGAAGTCCTGGAACAAAGCCCCACTGAGCAATGACTACAGACATGTATACACACACACATATATATATATGTACATACCTGACTGTATATGTGTGTGTGTGCGTGTGTGTATGTATATATTTCTTGCCACAAGTCAACTACAAATTTAGCTTTAAACTTTCTAAAAGTCAACACATAAAAGAGGTCTTGTTTATATAGCACAGTGAATTTCAGATAAAATGAAGCCAACTCCACAGAAACATAAAAGACAAGGTAAAATTTTCTCCCAGAAGTTCTGTAACAAAGGATATCTTTTTTGAACTGTTGTTATACATAGGATTCTCATTACCCTCAGTGTAAATATTACTATAATCCCTAGATCCAAGGTGATAAGACTGATACTGTGAATTGATACCATATCAAAACATAACTTCATAAACACAAATTCTATAGAAAGGAAGACAGTGTCAAATGAATATCTTCTTAGTATTCTACTTACTGATTTGCCTTAAATTACAGGGTAAATTTTAGAGTATTTATGAAATACTTGAATAATGCTCAGAAAATACTGTTTTTCTCAACTGATCAAACAGTCAGTAAGTGCTGCAGACAATGTCTATAAAATGTGGCTTGCTTGGAAGCAGATTTAGCAAGGAATGAAATACTTAAGAGTTTCTACGATCTGCCAAGAGAGGTCTAGCTCACTACTGAGGAGACAGATAATGCTCCATCCCCACCCCTTGAAGAAGCTTCTGAGCCAAAGAAGGACAGATGCAGAGAACAGAGCCCCTAACCTAGCCAATGGCAGGTAGGGCGGGGGGCGGGAGAGGGGCGCCTCTGGGGATAGAGTTCAGTTGGCAGAATCTTGCCTAGCATGCACAAGGCCCTGGGTTCAACCCCCAGCACCACCAAAGCAAACAACAAAAAACCTAGCCAAGCGGGAAGCACAGGAAGGTCTGCAGTAGCTTAGAGGAAGAGTAGCGGGTCGGAGGAGGGGAGTGGCACCTCAGGGGAGTGTGAAAGCCTCTAGTGTCAAGTGATGCCTTGGAACACCTAAGATCTACGGTGGATGGGGGGGGGGGGGGGGGGGACAGAGTGGAATAAGTGGGTGACAAAAGAAACTGCATTTTATCCTCCCATCACAAAGCACACGCATCGCCATTGCTTCAGAGCTTATTGAAGCCGCTTTTTAGACATTCCCCGCAAAAACGAAACTGGCAGATCCAGCAGGACCTTCCAGGAAAACCAACTACCCGGACCCTTCCCACCTTCACAGTACTCCCTACAGAGGCGCTAGCGTCAGTGCGCAAGCGCTCTGCATGACCTAGAAGGCCCCGCCCGGAGAGCGAAAGCTAGTAATTCCGGGTTGTTACCAGAGTTCCGCTCTAGCCGCCAAGCTTCCGTTTCTCTACTGCTCTCCGTTGAAGATGCCCGGAACTGGGAAGCGGCTGGGGGCGGGCCATCCGGGACAGGGGCGCGTGGGGGAGGCAGGTCAGGACCAGGTAAGGCTGTCGGTGACTTGTGGGGCTCTGCAGATATAGCGGCGATGACTCGGGAGGTCCTGCGGGGTCTCCAGTCCCAGGAAGAGGACCAGTCCATCTCTCTAGTGACCATTTCTCTAGGTTTCTCGTGTATCTCACAAACACCTCGGCCTTTTCTGGCTCCTGTTGGGGAATTTACCAAATGAAGGACGCCAGCGTTTTTGCTGCCGTAATTTCCTCTCCGGCGCAGTTAACTCTGTGGCAGATTAGTTAGCAGATGCTTGGTTCGCTTTCTCTGCTCTCCAGATCGCCGACTGCATCGCAGCTTGGCGGGTGGGTGCTGATTATTTTTATTACCCTTTTAGGAAAATTTTTGTGCACCACTCCACTGATCCAGGTGTCAGTTGACCTGACACTACTATAGTTTCCATCCCAGGGAGGGGCGATCCAGTCAGACAGAGGGGACTCAAGAGTTATTCTTGCTGAGTTGAATAAAGCCAACATATTCACTGCCGTCCATGCCACTACGATTTAGTAAAATAATAGGTACCGGGCACTGCGCGGTCGCGCAGGCCGGTAATCCCAGCTGCTCGGGAGTCTTGGGCAGGAGGATCGCAAGTTCAAAGCCAGCCTCTGCAACTTAGCTGGGACCTAAGCAACTTAGCGAGACCCTGTCTCCAAAAATAAAAAGGCGGGAGATTTGGTTCAGTTATTAAGCGCCCCTGGGTTCAACCCCCCTGAACCTAAAAATAATACAATCGGTACTGGGCATTAAGAATAATAAAGCATTCCCATTGGGTTGTTTTTCTGTGATGACACGTGAGCACAGTGTGTGCACGTACCTGGGATCCCCATGAGTGAGCATTGTGCCATACATTTTGCATTGTCAGCCTCACAATTCAGAGAGGTGCCTGATGGTCGCCATTTAGTAGGTGAGAGAACCGAGAGACTAGGAATAAGGACTACTATAAAAAGACATGGCTAGGCAAGAGTCCAACTAGCTGGTGCTAAGCAATAGTTTTTGAGAAACTGGAGAAGACTTTCTTCCCAGCAATAAACACACGTGCACATTTCAGCATACAACTTTAAATATTCAAAAACAGGCATATCCAGATTAAAAACTCCTGCACTTCATTTTCACCTTTGAAAAAGAAAAGTCTAATTCAAAACCAGTTATTAAAATAAAACTGATGTTTTAAATGCATCAGACTTATTGAAAGATCAGAGCATCTGGCATTTTTGTGTCAAAAATATGGAAATTGTCTTGTGTGGACCTAAATTGTTTTGCTTAGCATATTTGAGTGTTCTTTCTCAGCCTTTTCAATTCCGGTTATTTTTTTCTCCATACTGTAATTTTCTTTAGATCTCATTTAAAGAAAAGTACCATTTCAAAGTGACTATTTTGTATCCCCAAAGAATGGTTTTATGTGAATCAAAATATAATTGACATGTAAATTATTTGCCTTTTATTTTAATATCAAAACAGGGCCATCATATTCTTTATCTTTTAAGAGAATTTTGAAAGATTCTATAAGGAATCATGAGGGTCCTAAAAAGGACCAAGGCTTTTGAATTTTTTAATATTTGAAGCTAGTAAAAAGCGGCAATTTGTCTTAGGACCTGTACTTATGCACAGCAAAACCTTTTATCCTGTTTGTTTTGTTTAAGAAGTATACCAAGCTCCTCTGTCATTCTCCATCAAAGATGTGTATGTTGGGCTTTGTGGATGAAAACTATAAGGCAGTGGTCATTTTCTCCCTGTTTTGCAGGTGATTCTTTGCTTCCAGTAAAGGACCTAGATTTGAAGAGGCTTATTCCCTTTTTCTGTCATAAATTTTTTAGGATTTAGTTTTTGTTATATAACTATGTACCAATGGATTATAATCTGACATTATTACCTATGAGTTATGTTTCCCAGTAACCTGCTTCGTTGTAAAGTGGGCATGGAGATAACAGCCTTCTGTGATAACTTAGCCTCAGTAAGTCCCTGCCTCCTCTTTGCTACCTGTCAGTTTACCAAAGTGCTGGTCCCTCCCCTTGTTTCTCTGGCTGTCTGGCTTTGTAAGTGAGGAGATCATTCCAGGGAGGTACAAGTATAACAGGATGGAGATTTTCCCCCCATGATTAAGTGAGGACAAGTAATCAACAAAATGTGTGTGTGTGTGTGTGTGTGTGTAATAACACCAAACTTACTAAGACATTTAGAGTTTTTCCTTTTATTTTTCTTTTTAGTTACTATTTATTGAGTGCCACTGTCTTACTCATTTCTCAATCTTGCAAACTTTGTTTTCAGAAAAAGGGAACTCAAATCTAGAAAAGATAGTACCTGTTGAGAATAACCCAAGTAATAAATGACAAAAGAGTCAGTCCTCAAACCTAGGCCTTGAGACTCCATGCTGCCTTGTTTAAAAGTAAAGTAATTTGGCATTCAGACCTTGTTTTCCTGAAAACATTCTAGCAGAACAATAGTTCCCAGACTAGCTTCCAAGTTATCTATAGAAATACTGAGTAATTAAGAGTAGGAATCTATTCTGATGCTCTAAGGGTAATTATGCAAAACAAGGTAAAGTTAATGAAGAAACTGTTGTTTATTAAACTGGTGTTTGGAAAAAGATTACTTTAAAGATGGAAAGAGGAGAAAAGGAACTTTTTGCAGCTTCCAAAAGTGACTTTTGGATATTTGCAAGGCCTTGAGAGGTTTATGGCACTGACTTGTTATCTATTTTTCTATTAACATTAAATTGTTAATGGCCCTTTTTTCTCATTGATAAAAACATAACCTTAGTCCTAACAGGTCCAATCCCAACCAGTCTTCAACCACATAATGCAGCAAGAGTTGGGAGAGAAGTGAATGGAAAAGGGAAAAGGAAAAAGGAAGAGCAAGGCTTGTAGGAGATGTTCAGACTGGGGGCTAGGGAAACCTTGGATTCAGCAGTTCTCTCCTTGCTGGCCTTCAGGTGGCACTATTAACCCAAGATTGCTTGGCTGGTGTTCAAAATGGTAAATGGTTTGAGGTTGACATTCTGCAACTGGTTTAAGGTCAGCCTGTGTTCTTTTTATGGATCTTGAAATGGGCCTTAAAACATGTGAGTTTGTTTATTTTCTTGCAAGCGTGATTTTGAAATTTTATCAGATGAACAGAGCCCCTGCCCCTCACCTGATGTGCCTCTTCGCTTGTGTGTGGGAGCTTCTTTTCTCTGCTGGTGGCAGTTCTTTGGCATTCTAATTTCCTCCCACTCTCTTGGCATTTTCATTTTTGTACCCTTTTTGATAATCTCATCTAAATAATGTGTAATTCACCTTTAAGAATCATGTGTGAAAATTTGAATAGCTCTTTTAGCACATTGCTGTTTTAGAGTTGTTAGTTCTTCAAGATAAATATGCCTTTTTTCCTTTGGAAATCAGCTCCTTTTTTTCCCAGCTGAACTTTCCCCTAAATAGCCTTTTAGTCAGCAAAGATTCTCATCTCATTATTAGAATTTCACATAAATTGGAATATTCTGTAAGCAGTAACCCACATCTGATTTAGAATACAATCACTTTATTATTCCACCAGCAACATTCTTAATTTTTATGTATCTCCTATGTACCTTTTGATGTCCTTTTTCTTTGTCTTGTGAGAATTGACCCCTGTGGCACTCTACCACCAAGCCACATTCCCAACCCTTTTTATTTTTATTTTTATTTTGAGACAGGTCTACCTCAGCCTTTCTAGTCACTGGGATTACAGGCATGTGCCATTGCACCCAGCTTTGTCTGTTAGCTGTAATTTTTGCATATCATATTATCAGGTGTGTGTGCATGAGCGTGTTTTGCTAAGGATTAAAGGCAGGGCCTCATATTTGCTAGGGAAGCTTTACTGAGCTATGTCCCTATCCTCCTGGTTATCATTCTTATACCCATTTCAACACTCTGTGCCTCTGAGGAAAAAGTTTTTCAGCTAGTAATAACTTAGCTAGTTTTCTAAGTAATATCACCGTTCCCAAGTGCCTTCTGTTTAGGAATAAAATGAATCTTTTGAAATGTTGATCCTTATTTGAGCTGTTGAACTTTTATTTCTGTAGGACTACTATCTTTTCCCCAAGTGGCTCTCAGTCTCTAGGCAGAATTCAATCCAGTAACCTAGAGGCCAAATGACCTCATAACTCATTAACAGTTCTCAGAGCCATCTGGTGCCCTTGAGGAGAATAGTGTTCAAAGGCCTGATAATAAAGACGACAACAGCATAATTATTTCTCTGCCATGATTGCACCTTTAGATGGCAAGCAGTCAGCATATTTATTTGCAGATTGCTTAGGTGGTGGTTTTTAAAGGTGTAATAACAAAGCTGTGGTAGAATGACTTGTTTCCCTATCCTCTTCATCCATCCTGCAAAATAGATAAACTATAAGCAAACACCTACTGAATCACAAAGTAGTTCTCATTTGTAAAAAGGGCAGTACATTAAAGAAATGATATTTTGTGAATACAAAATGTGAAAATTCAAAATGAAAAGCATGCAAAGGAAACAGCTGTTTGGGCTGTGGATGTTTCTCAACTCCAAAGCATGTCTTGCCAAAAGGTGATTCATGAGTGGCTTGCTATATCTTCATTGTCTAAAGCGTTCATTAGATAAGCTCAGAATTTCTTACACTAACCTGTTTTTCTTCTCATTTTCTGTAGGGAGTCTCCTAGCTGCTCAAGAAATGTCTTCGCTTTCAGAATATGCTTTGCGCATGACTCGTCTGAGTGCTCGGCTCTTTGGTGAAGTTGCCAGGCCAACTGATTCCAAATCCATGAAAGTAGTGAAACTATTCAGTGAGCAGCCACTGGCCAAGAAGAAGGAGACTTACGACTGGTATCCAAATCACAACACATATTTTGGTCTCATGGGCACACTGCGTTTTCTTGGCCTCTACAGGTGATGACAAAAATACACAAAGAGGACCCTGTGAGAGATGCTCTTAGCGTATTATCAAAAGAAAAAAGTCAGCCTTTCAGCTAATAAGGTGGCCTTCCTATCCTTATATTTCTGTGGTTCTTACAAGAGAGCCCAGATAGTTCAAAAGGTGTACTTAATGAGAACAGGTTGCTGTCAAAATATCTATGAGCAAACCAAAAAAGAGGAAATACATGCTTGTTGGCAAACAATTAGGCCTAAAACATGACTGATATAGAATTTATAGTGAGCTGTAGAGAGATTTTTAAATATTCATTAACCTAAGAACACTAAAAAGAATGCAGAGAAAAACTGGTCCAAATTCTGAGGAAGAAAACCCCAGGAGTGCCACAGTTGTCCAGGCAGCAGGTTCTTGACGAACAGAGTCCCTGCCCCACACCTGATCTGCCTCTTGGAGGGTGTGTGGGAGCCTCCTTTCTCTGCTGGTGGCAGTTTTGTTGGCATTCTCTTTTCCTCCTACTCACTTCTGACATTTTGTACCTTTCTGATATATTAATTTGATCGAATTAAGCTGTAGTTCACCTTTAAGGATAACGTATAAATCACACGGGCTGTTAACACTATGCATTTGTACATTTGGGTAAATTCAGGAAGTGAGTGCTTAGGATTAGACCTCTAGAAAGAGAAAAGATAAAATACCTATGTAATCATTTTTCCTTTTTTTGTTAAATATTTTTAGTGGTAAATGGACATGGTACCTTTATTTTATTTATTTACTTTTTTATATGGTGCTGAGGTTGAACGCAGTGCCCCACATGTGCTAGGTGAGCGCTGTACCACTGAGCTACAACTCCAGCCCCTATGTATCATTTTTCTTTACCAAAAAATATATGTTCTTGTTACAAAGAATTAAAACATAACATAATTATATAGCATTAAAATACATAGCATCTTTTTAAAAATTTAACCTGTTTTAATTGAACTTATCTTTGGGCGACAATACAGAAATTAATTTGAGACCATTCTTTCAATTGTGATTAAAATTTTTAGTTCAGCATGATGTTCATTCCAGAGAGCTGAAGGTTGGTATATTCATTAATCCAACAGGTACATCTTAAGTTACATGTTCAGGTACTTAAGATGAGAACTAAGGGAACAGCAGTATTCAAAATGGAATTGGTTTTCTTAGTTAATATATTAGAGATTAGAGTTCATGATCTATTTTTAATGTCTGGAATTGCTTGGGACTATCTCCCTCGCCATTAGTCTGAGCTCAGAAAATAAAAACTAATCTTATTAGTATATAAAATAAAATATTGGGAGCCAGATCTTCTGAGTACAAGATTATAATCCATAACAAGATCACATTTTAATGTATCTGTTGCAGCTGTTCCCATTTGTTTGAAGAGCAAACACCTGGCTATGTTTAGAGACAGGAAAAAATACTTAGCACTTAGTTTTCCAAGGAAAAGCAACATTATTTTCATGTATTTAGTCACTAGTTATAGTAAACGGCACCTCTAATGTAGGCCTCCTGTGACACCAGGCAGGATTAAACTACACGGTCCCTTTAGTAAAGAAAATCTGATTCAAAGGCCTGCAGAACAGGGAGGGAAGCACAGGTTCCCAGAAATAATTGGTTCAGTTAATAGGTGCTGGGTTGTATCATCAACAGAGACAAACCTCCCTGCCTTTGTGGAGCTGTCTTTGTCTCCAGGGGTTGACAGGGATGGGGGAGGAAAAATAACAAGTAAGTAAATTATGTGATATAGTACAAAGTTAAAGACAGAGCTGGCTGAGCAGGATCCAGAGGGCTGAGAGGGCCCTAGTGGGTGGGGAGAGGCCATGTTACAGCATTCAACAGGACAATCAGGGTCAGCTACATCAAGGAGATGAGATTTAGGCAAAGGCTCAAGGATGGTGAGAGCTGAGAAGAGTTTGCAAGGCAGAGGCAAGAGCAGAGCAAAGGCCCAGAGGTAGGAGCATATTTAGAATGATCCAAGAATATTGCAGGCTAAGGAAATAGTGGGGAGGCAGGAGACAGGTCACGGGGTGGGGGGTGGTCTCAGCTCCTGTGGGTGCACAGGAGGCAGGTGACAGGAGTCTGTGGGTTTTGCTCTGGATGAAAGGGGGAGCCATATGCAGGAGTCACATAATCTGACATATTTCAGAATTGCCCTGGCTGCTGTGCTGAAAATTATTTGGCATTTTTAGCTAATCCTGAAGAAGTCTGTTGTATGCTGTTCATGTTCACGGAATAAGACACTGAATTCTGTAAAGCCAATCTATTTTAAAATAGTCTAGAGAGTTGAAATTCAGGCCCAGCAAACCCTTCTAACATTTAATTCATATACCATTATTATTCATAGTTTATGGATGAGGAAACTAAGGTGTAGAGAGATAAGGTCACTTATCCAAAGTCACAGAGCACCAAATGGTGACGCTGTGATTTGAACCCAGGTTCCAGTGGGTTCCACAGCTTACATGTGTAAGCACTATACTCTTTTGGTGTTTGGTCTTAAGATATAGGCATTTTAAACAGTTTAGCCCATATGAATAAATAGTTGTAGCAGCCTTGATTTCTATAGTATGTTTTTTGATCTGGCTTCCTTCTCCCTGAGCCTTTCCCAGCAGCCTCTTTATGTGAAGTATCTACTGCCATTAAAGCCACTTCCTCCAGACCTCTGCCCCTTTTTTAGAAGATACTGATTCCTGGGGCAGTCAGGGTCTCTGTGTAGCTACTGAACTCTATACCTGATTTCTGTTCCTCTGATTGTTTAGTATTAATGTAGGGAAATTTGAAGTAGTTACTTGTGAATATCATAATTACATAGGGTTACCTGGGCTGGCCTGGAAGATCAACTGCAGTTTATGGCATTGTTTCTATGAGGGAAAACTCACTTATAAATGAATTTTTAGAAACAAGGGGAACCCTTGTACTTTATTCAACAAATTGAACATGTACCCTGAAAAGTCAAGAATCAATAACCAGAACAATCTGAGAAAACAGTGAAATATTGGTATAGTTTTTCAATATAATAAAAAATAACAAGTTGATTATTTTTCCTTCATGCAGAGATGAGCATCAGGATTTTAAGGATGAGCAAAAGCGTCTAAAGAAGCTTCGTGGAAAGGGGAAGCCAAAGAAAGGAGAAGGGAAAAGAGCAACAAAAAAGAAGTAGTGTTGGCCCATCAAGAGAGAATTTCTTCCTCAGTGATTATGAGAAGAAAGTACCATCTTTCCATGTATTAGAGGAATGTACTCTGCCTCAGTGAAGGTTACTTGGAGAGACACAATCCTCCCTGTATTGAAGTATAATTCAATTAAATGGTGACTGGTAGCCAGGTGTGGTGTAGCATACCTATAATCCCTGTAATTTGGGAGGCTGAGGCAAAAGGATTGCAAGTTCCAGGCCAGCCTCAGCCACTGAGCAAGACTTTTTTCAAAATTTTAAAATATGAACAAAAATAAAAGGATGTAATTCAGTGGTAAAGTACCTCTTGGTTCAGTCCCAGGTATCAAAATAAAATTGTGACTGGTTTCTTGAACACATTCAAATGCTGCAAATGTCCTTGGTTTTGTAATCTGATGTTTTCTTGATTCTCTAATGGAATGAATACATAAACTATTGTTTAATGACTTGTTTGGGTGGGGATGGGATGTTGAGGGAGTGGAAGGGAACCTCATTAAGTGAGTGTCCTGCAGTACCCTCATCCCTCCCTCTTATCCGCCCCTAAACTTCTTTCATCTTTCTGGCCACTCAGCCACTGTCTCCACCACCAAGCTCACAAACTTTATATGCACCTCTACCTGCTAAGTGGGATAAAAGGCCATTATAGGAAAGGGAATATTGAGTCCCTACTGTACACAAGGTACTAGAACCTGGGTAACCCCGTGGTTAACAAGAGAGATAATCCCTAACTCAGGAAACTTGCAGCCTTTTGGGGGAAGATTAATATAATTATATACAGTTGTATTAAGTGATACAAAGGAAAAGTCTGGACTCCTCTGAGTGGGAATGGATGTGGATCCAGAGAGACTGCCACAGGCCCAACCTTATTAGGGAACTTAAAGAGGGCCTTCCTAAAGAAATTATTTTTAAGCTGAGCCCTGAAGGATAAATAAGATTCAGACGAAAAATTATGAGAAAAGTTTTTGAGGCAGAAAGAACACTGTAAAGCCCTAAGGTTAGAAACTGTCTTGTTAAAAATTGAAAACAGACCAGGAACTGGTTCGTGATTGGTCATAAGGAACTAGAGGCCAGACAATAAAGGACTTGCAAGTCTATGGGAAATCTCAGATGTGACCAACTTAACTGAAGATCAATTTGTATAAGACGTTATTCCTATTGGAGATGACTATTGCACATATCTGGGTATTTTATTGTATTACTGAGTATCCAAAAAGATTAGAAGGGCCTCTGGTTTTATTCCTCCAAAAGTTGTCCTGAATCTTTAGCATTGTCCAGTAAGTTTTTAAAGTTTTTTTCTCAGTTGAGATAGACAGATATAAATATGTAACAAAATTTAGCATCTTAAAAGTATTAGAATTCAAGTGAATGTCTAGAACCTGACCACCAACCCACCAACCCCGAGATTGCTCCTCATCCCCAGGTTTCCTCAGGAGTGTGGGCTGCTGCATTGCAAAGGCTCTACTGGGGGAAACATACAAAGCAGTATTGGCATGGGTAGTGGTGCATCTCAGATCATTTATTCATGCCATGTAGTAAGTGATACTTATCTAAGGGTATAACAATGTACTATGTTCCCATTAACAAAGCCTGCTTAAATTTACAGGCAGACTGACGATTCTGCAAGCTGGCTAATGATGACCATGAGCAGGTGCAGGACTTGAACCTTTCAAAGCTTTACTTTTATCAGCACTCTTGATTTTATAAACAATGAAGCTCATCAACCCCATTCCTACCCAAATCTCTTGGTAAACCTGGGTATAGTAGGGCTTCAAGTGGATCCAGTCAGTAGTTTTTAATAATAGTTTGAAGCATCTCAGCAGAACCAATGGCTAAGACTGCAAAGCCAACAAACCATCTCAACCATTTTTAAGTGAGCAGTGCAGTAGTGTCAACCTGTACAACACATTGTGCTAAAGTACTTTTTAACCCATTTCCACCACTAAGGCAAAGAAAGCAAAATGCACAGGCTAGAGTCCATATAGCAGCTACTCTACCTACAGTTGTCTTTCCCTGCAACACTGAATGACTCCTGATCCCAGTACATATGTTTACACAAATATTACTTTTAAAAATGCATAATCTAGATTGTATGGCTATGGCTTATATTATAGCCTGTTTATTTAAATAAATAAATAAATAACTGCCAGGCAAATGATGCACACACACCCATAATCCCAGCAGCTTGGGAGGCTGAAGCAGGAGGATCGCAAGTTAAAGCCAACCTCAGCAACGCAGTGAGGCCTTAAGTAACTCGGCGAGATCCTATCTCTAAATAAAATATTAAAAAGGGCTGGGGATGTGGCTCAGTAATTAAGCGCCTCTGGGTTCAATCCCTGGTACAAAAAAAAAAAAAAACCTACCTAAAACTAGGTGATTTGTGCCTGATAGAAGTGAATTCAAACAGAAGACTGAGAATCCATTGGTTTAAAGCTCCTCTCTGAGCATATGCCATGTATGCCTGACACAACAGTTGTAGAGGATATAGAAACTAATAGATGTCGTCCATATGACTGTGTGAATGAATGAGTGTGTGGTGTCTGTGTTTTATAAAGTATTAGCAAGAATACTTGGGAAGTTGCTTAGAAAAGTGCAGATACGTTATTATTGGCCAATGCAGCTGAATCAGGTATGGATGAATTGGGCTGAGGAACAGGATCTTAGCCTGAACCCAGTATAACTAAGTGATTATTCTGAATTATGTCATATTTTGAAGAAGGCATAAGTGCAAGAAGTTAGGAGAGTTAGCATGATTATTGTAGGGTAACTGTACTAGATGCCAACAGCAGACCTGAGTCAGGAAAAAATTAAAGAATCGGTATACTGGTTTAGCTGATGGAAGGAAGAGTCTTCAGTGAGACTCTCATACCCTAAAACTGCAAGAAGCCTCAGCAGTGTTTGATGGGAAAGTTTGTAAGTAACTGAGCAGAAGATGAGTGTGGCCACTGCTCCATGCTAAATATCAGAAACTAAAGCTAAAATTTATTTGAACATAAGTTGTACCCTCAAACCAACTGTGAGAATACCACACAATTCAGCCTACAGTGAACTGCAAGGTACAATCAAGAGAAAAAAAAAAAATCTCTAACCCCAGGTTTAGACTAGCCAGATTGTTTAGCTGGAGTTTTAGTCAAAACTTAAACTATGATTTCCCTTCAATGTTTGGTGCTTAGTGTGCATGGAAGATTTTGCTCTTGATTTCAGTATGGCATAGTAAAAAGAGGCTGGGTTTTTTATTCAAAAAATCATGGGCCTATGACAGTGTACTTGCTGTATGATCCTACATTACCTTCTCTGAATCTCTCTGTAAAATCACAATAATACTTCGCTGGATTATCAAAATGTTCAGGTATTTATGAAAAGGACTATGTAGTAAAAATTTACTCACACGTTTTTATGTAGAGTATTTTGTGTGACTAGTAAGAACTGCTCTTCTAGCAGATTTTTCCAAGGTAATATTGACAGATATCTGCTAAAAATATATAGCTCTTAGTGCTGGGGGTTCAACTCAGTGGTAGAACACTTGTCTGAGCTTCATCTCCAACACCACACACACATAAAAATAATTTTAAAATATCTTTTTTTCCTCTACATTTAAATGCAGCTTGGTAGGTTCTAGAAGAGAATGTAGGTTAGAAATATTTATATAATTGTTTATAGAAACTCATTTTTTAAAAACACAACATACATAAGTAAAAGCATAATAATAATGCTTTAATTTATAATACATTTTCAAAGAAAAAATACAGCAAAATTTTAAATTCTACTTTCTTGTAAGTGCCTAATGTTAGAGATTTATTGCTGGTAACAAACTTCAAGAGCAACAGATAGGATAAAACATCTTTTAACCTGCCAACCCTATTAATGGCTCTTTTTCATAATTACTCAAGACAAATTAAAATTATTTATTTACAAAAATATTGAAGCTGGACAGTGGCACACACTTGTAATCCCAGAGTCTTGGGAGGCTGAGGCAGGAAGATTGTAAGTTCAAAGCTAGTCTCAGCAAAAGCAAGGTGCAAAGCAACTCAGTGAGACCCTGTCTCTAAATAAAATATGAAAAAGGACTGGGGATGCAGCTCAGTGGTTGAGTGCCCCTGAGTTCAATCCCTGGTACCAAATATATATATATGCACTGGAGGTGTAGCTCAGTGGTAGAGCACTTGTATAGCATGTGTGAGGCCCTGGGTTCAATCCCCCAGTACCCTCCCAAAAACAATGAAGCTGGAAAGGTGGCATGCACCAGCCTAAGCAACTTAGCAAAACCCTATCTAAATGCCCTTCAATAGACGAATGGATAAAAAAAATGTGGCATTTATACACAATGGAGTATTACTCTGCATTAAAAAATGACAAAATCATAGAATTTGCAGGGAAATGGATGGCATTAGAGCAGATTATGCTAAGTGAAGCTAGCCAATCCCTAAAAAACAAATGCCAAATGTCTTCTTTGATATAAGGAGAGTAACTAAGAACAGAGTAGGGACGAAGAGCATGAGAAGAAGATTAACATTTAACAGCGATGAGAGGTGGGAGGGAAGGGGAGAGAGAAGGGAAATTGCATGGAAATGGAAGGAGACCCTCAGGGTTATACAGTGGAGGGGGTAGAGAGAGAGGAGGGGAGGGGAGGGGAGGGGAGAGGAGGGGAGGGGGGATGGTGGAGGATGGGAAAGGCAGCGGAGCACAACAGACACTAGTATGGCAATATGTAAATCAATGGATGTGTAACTGATGTGATTCTGCAATCTGTGTATGGGGTGAAGGTGGGAGTTCATAACCCACTTGAATCAAAGTGTGGAATATGATATGTCAAGAAATTTGTAATGTTTTGAACAACCAACAATAAAAAATTAAAAAATAAATAAAAGAAGGTTGGGTTCAAACAAAGATACCCCACAAAAGGTGGGGAATTTGAAACCAGAGGCAAAAAACTATGACTTTTGGCCAGAGTGGATAATGTCATCAAAGTTCCTCAAAAATCCAGCTGGGATCAACCATGCCACAAGTCACTGAAAAGTGATCCACCTTGGTTGTTCATTCCAAATCAGTGACATAAAATGATCCAGGAGACACTGGGTAGCTCCAAGAAACCCACTTCTTCCATCACCACAAAGTCATGACATTTAAATGACCCCACTCCATGCTACTAGGAGAAAAAGACAAATGAAACAATGATCATATACTTAAGCCATCTAAGCAGAGAATAATTTTCTTTAAAAAAAATGACAGGTTAAACTATTGTAAATAAAAGAGTCTATGGTGTTGAAATAAGGATAGTTATTCCTTCTCTTTACCTTTCCTTCCCACCCATTGGTGTGAGAGAGTAGAAGTGAGCTCATGCAGAAAATTAGGACAGTTACAA